GCTGCCCCGGGAGGGCGGGCGCGTCCGGGCCGCTTCTCCTCCCCGCCGTGCCGGCGCCTGCGGGGAAAATGCTCCCGGGGCTGTGAGAGGCACGCTGGTGCGCTGCTTCGTTTGCTGCGCGCCGCGGAAATGAATGCGCTTGGATGACACGTAGTCAAAAGGTAGGCGCGGTTTCGACTTAATTAGGAACGGTCCCTGGCCGTTCCCAAGCGTTGTGGTCCGCATCCGACATTTGATACAGCTGAAGAGGGGACAGGTAGGAGGTAGCCTTGCGTCAGTGCCTTGTGACTCCATTTTATCTGCCCTGTAATGTAAAAGCCGAGCGTGCGATTTAGGGAGGCTTGCGGAGATGTGAAGGAGGCGTGGCTGGAAGGGTCTCGCTGTGCTTGCCTGAGTCGAACGTAAATAGATATGAAACTTGAATTTCCTACTTTAGTTCACCTTCCAGATGGCAGTGTGGGATCAAGGAACAGCATTATAAGTAATAAATCTTATGTTCGTCTCTATGGTCAGAGCTAAGGCTTCTGTTTACTGGCTTTAACCCACCCTCCCCCTTCTTTTCTACTTTCCAACCTAAAATTTATTTTTCTGTGCGAGAGGAATGGAAACTACTTTTTCTGTGCAGTATGCACTTGTAAGTTGATGGCAATACTTGAAACTGAGGAAACAATTTAAACTGTTTAGTCTTGACAGTGTTCTTTGTGTTCTTTGTTTACAGTCATAGCTTTTTAAATAAGAGCAAATTTATTTTATACTTTAGGTATATGAAGAAAAGGACTATAGAAGAGCTAGATTTGTTGGACGACAAAAGGAGGTAACTCATTCTGCTTTTACTCACGGGAGAGGGGGTGGCTTGTGGTGGTTCTTACTATCTGATATTGATGTCTGTAACTTGGTTGTCATTAAAAAAACCCAACAAACCCAAAACCCACAACCAAAACCAACCAACCAAAAAAAAACCCTACCAAAACCAAACTGGTTTGGATTTTGTGTTTCAGTGTTTTTTTCACTACAGTGAAAATTCTTCTTTAAAGACAGCTTATAGTAGTTTCTGTGTACCTCCCTACTTCTGGCAAATTTGGAAGATTCAAGACTTGCCCTATACCTGTTAAATGCATATATTTAGGCTGTGGAAGTTGTAGGCATTTGAGCGTCTTAAACTTAGACCTTTTTTTTTTTAAGCATCTGTTTTAAGAAAATTTTAAGCATGTTTTTAGTGCTGTTTGGATTCAGAAAAATCACATAATTAAATGTTCTGCTGATTTTTGCATCTATATATCTGTTTAAATGTGTGCTTTGAAGCTTAATTTGCTTCTGCATAGTTAAAATCTTGATCTTTACCCAAACTGAGTTTTTAATGAGGCCACTTCATTTCCCGAGCCTGGGAAGCATTTGCTGAAACAGTGATGTAAAAAATAAAACTAAAATTTAGAGTGTTCTGAAATAACAAAGCCTCAAAGGCAAAGTCTAGTAACACCGGCATCAGCCAAGTGTACTACTGTGAAGTTACCTTGTGGGCCTGTTTTTGCTGTTTATCAGTAAGAGTGGGTACGTGAAATTGTAAGTCCTTTAGCTCAGAGTTCTCTCTAACAATTGAGCAGTACAACTCCATGAGGGATCTGCTGGCCTTTGGGAGAGAAACAGAGATTGTTTCGCCTAAACTGTATTCCTCGATGCCTGAGCATCTGGTTAGTGCCTTAGTGTTAATGCTGTAAATGTGTATGTATAGTAGAGGCATTAAAGATAAGGTGTGGTAGTTTTTTTTAATGTAGTTGTGTGTAATTATTCCTTTCCTAAATTAACCTGAACTAATTGTGCTGATTTCTGAGTTTTTGTATTGCGTTTACCTCATATCACGGATACAATTGAACTCGTGCTGTGTGGCAAGAATGGGGATTCTACATGGTTATACGTAGAATATATAGTTAGAAAAAATAGTTGAATGAAAATGTCACTTAAAACACCAAAGCGGTTTACTTCTGGGAGGATAGTGGCAAAGTAGGTCTCTCCCAAATGCAATGCCTGTTTCTGTGCTACTTCTGTAACTTTGTAGGAAGTGCTCCTTAAGTCTAATTCTCCATAGGGCACAGGTCCCTCTGATGTGCCTTTGCCAGCAGCTGATTTCGGACCCTCTGTGGTGAGGGACACCCAGGGTTTTCAGTTCAGCCCAGTTCCTCCTTCTCCAGCAAAAGACAAGCTTTAAGGCTGCTGAGCAAGGTTTGATGCTAGGTTTTAATTGTGAAATTGGAACAAAATTTACATTTTAAATACTAAAACGATCCTCAGTCATGCTTGTTAACGGGATCTCTCTCCAGGGGCTTTACCATTATCCCCCAGTGTGTTTCAGCTGCTAGCATTAGGGTTTCACAGCCGTGTCTGTAGTCTGAATGTTGTCTTGTTCCTGAAGCTGAAGCTAGCCTGGGAAGTTGCTGACTGTACTTTCTCGGTCGCTTGTTCTCTTCGCCTTCAGTACGGTCTGGGCGGTCGAGTCTGGCTTGTGATCGGCCCAGTGCAGCCGCGGCAGCTTTCGTGTCTGGGGACGCAGCCTCCGGACGCAGGTGCCCTCAGTGAGGGCACCCAGGCCCGTGCCTGGGTGCTGCATGCGGCCTCTCCGGGCGGTGGTCAGGGCCAGGGGCACGGCCCAGAGTATGCAGCTATTGTCCCCTCAGTTCTGCCAGCCTAATTGTTAATGAAATGCATGTGTTTTAGCTAAAATCATTGTTCTCTGCGCTGGATGTGCAGAACCAGGGGATCAGTGCTCTCCGGCAAAGGCCTAAAGCAAGTAGCTGTGAGAAAACGGAGCATGGCAACCGTTAAACTGCATCTGCTGCAGTCCGACTAGGGTCATCCTGCCCTTGTACAATCCCTAAAGTACCACAGGACCTAATTTGACACCACTGTTCCCACTTCAGCTCTACAGCTTTCTGAAGCTGCGAGGAGAATTGACCTCAGAGCTGGTCCGGTTTAAATATGACTCCCTGTGTTCCCTCTGGATCTTTGGACCTGGGTCAATTCCACATTTCGTTTTACCTCTCTGCCTCCCAGACCATGTACTGGCGAGTAGGTGGAAAAAAGCAGCAATGGGATTGTCAAACTGGTGCTACGGCCAGGAAAAAATCGCTCATTGAATTATGCATTGGGTAAGGAGCGTTTGGATGTGCTGAGGGAAACGTCCCCTTCCAGCTAACTACTGCTGTGCTTTAATTGAAGGGACACGATGTAACTGAAACCAATTCTTTTTTTTCCACACAGTTGTTCTCAGTCTCTTTTTCATTCTGGCATGTTTTCCCTGCGAATTCCTAGACTCTCTTGTTTAGTAGGCTGAACCACAGACAAGTCATAGCTGTACAGTGGATGAGAGGTTCTTGGTTTCCCCTTCTCCCCACAAATACCTTTGTAGTTAAGAAATGTTGGGAAGAATGGAGTTCTGCTTCTGAAGTAGAGGTGCATCATGGTGCTATCTCCCTCCTTCTTTAGCATGAAATGAAGGATGAACAATTCTGAGCGTTATTAAAAGCAGCAGTAAAAATCCTTGCAGGTTGGCAGAGATTACATATGACTTGCGGGCATGGGCCCCAGGGAGTGGGGTTCTTTGTTGTCAATTTGCTTCAATACCAAAAGTTAATTTTTTGTTCCCTTTATTTAGCTATCATCTTCTTTACCTAAAGAAAATCGGTTTGTTGGCAAAACTGACTTTTCCGCTGCTGTACCAAAAAATGCAAATTTGGGGGAGACTTAACTGGAGGCTTGGTGAAAGATTCTAAGTTGTTGCATACTGGAACTATATAAAAATACCATTTTATTTCTTAGGGATTCATTTAATGGACTGTCTTTTTCCTAAGAATTTCATCTTCATTCAAATACCAGCATGTTTATGAGCCTTATACACAGAGCAGTAGATAGTGCCTTCTTTGGGTGTGCATATTATTTCACATTCTTGCGTGTGTAACATTGGCTTTGAAAAAGCTGGCCCCTCCTGGAGCGTGTTTAGCTGAGGGGTAGGGTTGGCTGTCTGCTCAGTGCTGGTGCAGAGCGGGCTGGAAGAGGCTGGAAAGTGCTGTGGTGGGGTGCTGTAGGTCCTGCTGCAGCACAGGTTGCTGTGTCGCAGGCCTGTCCAGAGGTGGGTACGTTTGTCAGGCCATGTAGATGTGCCCTAGGAAAAGGCCCTACTTGTCAGTGATGTGCATATTCAGGAAGCGTGTATAAGATGGATTTACAGACTGGCATAGTGACAATTTAGAGGTTTTTCTTTTTTCTAACACTGAACACTTTGCCTTTCCGACTGTTGTTATGCACCACGTTCATGTTTTCCTGAGATCCCTGTGCAGCGATAGAATAAGGTGCGTGGTGAGAGGCTCTAAATTACCAGCAGTTGTTTTATCTCACTCCTGACCTTACTTGTCCCACCATTATTTTTGAGTTTATCAGCAGTGAGTCTTTTGCAATTTTATCATGTAGTCGCTAAAGCAGAATACAGAGGCAGTGTCAGTTAAATATCTTCTGTTCTTGGCTGCTTGTTCCTGCTCACCTCTCTGGTGAACCTGCTTAGGTCATGTTGTAAACCTGAGCACTGATGTGGCCTGTGTATTAGGGGGAGGGGATTACTTTTGCGGAGTTTAACATGCTCAGTTCACTGATCTGGCTTATAGCACAGCCTAAGAGTTGGTGGAGGAGGTGGGAGGAAACATATGCAGGAACTTCTCAAGATGGCTGTAGTGGAACCGCTTGGGGAGGCGGTAAATAGCAATTGCTTTCTGTTTGAGTGGGGAAGGTGTCTGAAAGCTTCCTTTTTCTCTTACAGGTGAACAAGAATTTTGCAATTGATTTGATAGCAGAGCAGCCTGTGAGTGAAGTTGAAAGCAGAGTGATATCATGCGATGGTGGTGGTGGAGCTTTGGGACATCCTAAAGTATACATAAACTTGGTAATATCTTTTGATCTGTGTATAGCATGTTTTGCCTGTCAGTTCTCGTTTGTAAGATCATCTACTTTTGGGGATGTTAGTTTAACAAAGTAGAAGGATTAACCACCCAAGGTGTTAATTTTATTTGGTGCCTAATCTAAAATTAAGATTTCTACTCAGAACAGCTAGAGGGTTTCCATTTGAAGTTACCAGGCATTTCTTGCTCTCGATTTTGATTTGTTTGATGGGACAATCATTTCTTTTTTGGAAAAAAAAAAAATTTAACTATGAAGTATTATATGAACAAGCAGTGCCTTGTGAGCAAAAAATAACATGCTTGCTGTGTTTTGAGAAACTTACTCTAATTATTTAAATTCCACCGTGTAGATTGAGGATACATTTGCAGTATTCTTAGGGATATGCAATTTATTTTGAATCTTGCACGTTCAAGAAAAAAAACCAAATCAAAATTCTTTCAGTCTTGGGAATCTTGGTAATTCTGAAGATTGAAAGTTTCAATCATGGTCAGAGAATCAGTGAAGAATAAATGTCGTCTTCATATTTACCCTGACAGTAGTGATAGTTTCCAGTGTATTCTTATTCTAGAGAGTAAGAATATTGAGGCTAATGTCATATGGCCTTGGTGGAATCAATGATGGCCTATTGCTTAGGTACTGTTCTCAGGCTCACCTTCACTGCAGTTGTCTTAAAATCTTTGCTTGCTCACTTAAACTTTGACGTTTGCTTTATACCAAAAAGAATGGTGGGGTAGAGCTGGTGTCCTTTATAGTTAGGAGTCACAACAACACTGACACTAATCACAAGCATTTCTATTTTGAACAAAGTAAGCACTTTATAATGATTCATTGTATGTTATTCAAAGTCAAATGCTTGGAGGTTCTAATTCATAAAACCTAGGAAGCTTGTGTTCTTCAGTCTTCAGCTAACTTCTGTAGCACACTGCTGATGGGTTGCATTTATGTTGATTCGTTTGAACTGCACCATGCTGTTCTTGAGGAATGCTTTAGTTTTTGTGAATTTTGAGATCTTTTGTGTTAACAATCACATTATAAGATGTCTGTGGTTTGGTTCTTGAAAGCTAATGTCTGCAAAGAGAGAATGGTATTAATTAGACCAGCTTGTTGCCCCTAGCTGTAACAACTGAAATCCAGGCTTTCAGAGGTGGAGGGTAGTCTGGATTTTTCACTTCTAATCCTGTATTAAGGAGGGGGAACCATGAGTTTACTTCATTTCATGACTGCAAATAGTCATGTTACTAAATAACAGAAGATCCCTTAATGTTTAGCTAACTGTCTTGTCTTTTGTTGTGTTAAGGAGGACTACAGCAACAGCCCACAGTCAGTCACACTTGTAAATTTTAAAAAAACCTGTATGTTTTGGAGAGAAGACTAAAATTTTATGCAGTAGTAACTGCTACTTTTCTCTAAAACATTTTCCTTCAGAATTTCTCCCAGAATCCTACTGAAATTTCCTCCTTTCTGCAGCTAACTCTGTCAGCTTACATTACAGGCCAAAATTCCTGTCTAGATAGAACTTGGAAATGCTAAATCCTATCCTGTATTAAAATAATTATGAAATGATCTTTTCAGAACATTGGAACAGATATGACTGAACTGACTTAAGATGTCCAGTTCGGTAAGAGGATCCTTTATTGCTGAAGAGGTATCACTTGGCTTGACTGTAAAATTCTATTGTTGAGATTAGGCCTGGTAGTTAAAAGGCTGCCAGAAGGGAAGCTGCATAGGATACAGAAATCAAGCATGAACCTCATTCTTATTTCCAGTATTTCAAATAAGATTAAACTCTGTACTTCAGCTATATTGAGCCATTTTAAAATGGCACATATAAATAAGAGAAAATCTGTAATTTCTAGCAGTTGTATAAAGTGAAACTAGCAGCTGTTGTATTTTTATGTTTTTGCAGGACAAAGATACAAAGACCGGAACATGTGGCTACTGTGGACTTCAGTTTAAACAGAAACATCACTGAAAGATTATATCTGCATGCTTGCAGGTTTCTGTTCAGATGTTAATGCTTAACTATAAATAAACAATATATTTAGAAACCCCAGATTTGCGTTTGTGTTTATCTTAACTGTGGAAAGTCCAATCTGTACTTTTTTAAAACCCAGCTTGTCAAGTATTTGAGAGCTGAATCGTATTACAATATTGGCTTTGTACTTAATCTGGTTTTCATGAAACAAATGTCCTGCCTTTTTTGGCAGACTTCTTGCAGGCTTGGAAGTGGTGTTTGGCTGCAGCATAGGTTTGGTTTGTACTGGGTAGACTTGTATTCTTTTCAATGCTGAACTGGATGTAAATGTTTACTGGGGGACTAATTATCCTATGTGTTTGTCTTTTGGCATTGTTTGACACTCTTAATTTGTTCATGGCCTAGTATCTATAGCTAGATTCACAAATGGAAGCACAAAGATATTGTGATACTCAGCATTACGATGCTTACTCCTGGAAGCAAGATTGTCATCCATGAGTTAAGTAGCTATACTTGCTACTTGTTTAAAAGAAACAGCCAGTGCCTTAGAATGGTAATCAGTGTGAGCTGGAGAACTACCTAAGCTGGCACATGTGAAAGGCAAGGACGTAAGCATTTGTCCTCCAGTTGAGAGGATCAGAGTGTAAATATCTGATTCTGCTTGGTATTCGCACCCTTGAAGCCTCCTTAGGAGCTGGGTCTTGTCAGACTCAAAGTAGGAATTGCTCCGTTACAGGTAGCAGCATCTGCTCCTTTAATACAGATAATCTAACAATGAGAGTATCCACCTATCTGTAACACCACCTAGGCTGTGAGAGGCTGGTTGCAGGGCATCTTCTACCTTCTTGCTTAAATGCACTTATGTAGCATTCCATCATATAAGCATGAGTCTCAAAGAGGGTGAGTGTCTGGAGAAGGAGGGTCTGAGCTTTGCTCCAGAGAGCATTTTAATCTGTTGTCAGTAAGTAACTTAGCTTTTTAAATGCTGGTGGTGGAACATGGTCTCAGGTAGTAATTGCTGCTTGGCCAAATTTTAATGGGGTGTGATTCTAAACCTGCCATTTATATGGCTTTAATTGATGTGGTAGTATCAAGTTGAACCAAATTATGTGGGCCTACAGCTGCTTAACTTGCTTGTGTCAACTTATAGGTGAAGTTGAACCAACGCAGTCAGGCTTAAAGCAAGGTCTGAACTATTCTGTCTGTAGAAGTTGTGTATTTAGAGGCTCTGCTGCAATTACTCACATGCATGTACATCCCTCCTCTTTTTTTCATTCATTCCACCTGTGAGAGCTTAACCTCCCTTTCTGTCTCTTCCCCTTCTTCCTCCTTCCCTGTCTTTCTCCTTCCCATTGCTGCTGGTTTCAGTGATCATCTGACTGGCCTTCAATTCATTCTTTTTAATGACCTAGATTTAAGAAGTAATTACTAGAGTTATGCGTTGTAAATTCAGCGTAGGTTACTTTTCTGTAAGTCTAGGGTCTGACTGAGGCTAGATGGCTGTTAGTATGGTTGTAGTTTTGTAATGATAGTGCAGTGGCCAAGTTCAAGAAGACTTAATGTATGCTGTGTTTCGAGTAGCACCTGAGCATGTACAAAGATGGCAAAGGATCCTTTCATAAAACCCAGTAACTTGCATTCAGCCTATCTGACCTTATGCAAATGATCTGTCAACTGAGCATAAATGTGATGTTATAAATTGTCTGCTGGTAAGTCCATCTCATGCTCTAAATATAAAATAATTACTTGAACTTGCGGTGTCCTGTCTTTAAGCATAAATCTGGTTGCTTTTTAGTCTGGCGCTCTACCAGTTTGTAGAGTGTCTTGGCTGGCACGGTTCTCTTGTGGTGCAATCATCTCTGCGAAGAGACCTGAAACAAGGAATCATTATGTGGTCCTCTTCCTTGGGCCTTTCATTTTTCTTATGAATAATCTATCTGCTTGGATCACTGCTGCTCATAATAAATTAACAATGTTTAAATTGGCATGGCAGCTGCTGAGGTCTGGTCTCAACTATGGAATGCTGTTCTTGGATATTCTCCCTAAAGTGCTTGTGATATGTGAAGCTGTTGACACCAGTGAAAAAAAGAAGGTCTCTATTTTGCTCTGGTGATCTTCATAGGAAGACTTCAGACTTTGCTCCTTGTTGTTTCCTGTGTGATAAGTTTACATACCTAGTTGGGAATGGTTGTTTATATGAAGCCTTGCGCTTTGAGCCACATCATCCACATACCTGTGGAAAGGCCAGCCTTGATCTGCAGGAAGAAGTAGTGAGGGAAAGCAGAAGCTTTTACTGTGGTGGTCACAAGCAGATATGCATGAAAATGGATCTATGAGGACAGACTAAAACATGTCCGTATCAAAGCAAGGGTTAACTGAAACATGTAGGTACCAAATCAGCATTACAGTTCTCAGGCAACAAATTCAGACTAGAAAGCAATATGGAATAAAACTTTCTGACTTAAATTCTATCAGTCACTGTTTTGTTCTTTGTAGATAATTCATCCCAGGCTGGAACTATAGTTTCTTACTTTGATTACCAGAGTATAAACCATAGTTTACACTCTGTCACTGTGGAAGTATGAAGTATTCTACATTGATGTGTAGCTTAACAACTGTATCTTGCCTTTACCTACTAAAACCAGATAGGCTTTTTTCCCTTTACTGCCACATGTATTAAGCTGTCCTGGTTTTGGCTGGGATAGAGTTAATTTTCTTCCTAGTAGCAGGCATAGTGCTGTGTTTTGGATTTAGTAGGAGAATAATGCAGATAACACACTGATGGTTTAGTTGTTGCCAAGTACTGCTTATGCTAGTCAAGGACTTTTCAGCTTCCCATGCTCTGCCAGGTACACAAGAAACTGGGAGGGGGCACAGCCAGAAGAGTTGATCCAAACTGACCAAAGGGCTATTCCATACCATATGATGTCATGCTCAGTATAGAAACTGGGGGGAGTTGGCTGGGGGGCAGCGATCGCTGCTCGGGAACTGTCTGGGTATCGGTCGTCAGGTGGTGAGCAATTGCATTGTGCATCACTTGGTTTGTGTATTATTATTACTATTATTAATATGTTGTTATTATTACCACTACTCTTTTACTTTATTTCAATTATTAAACCGTTCTTATTTCAAGCCAGGAGTGTTTCTCACTCTTACTCCTCCGATTCTCTCCCCCATCCCATCGGGGTAGGGGGAGTGAGTGAGTGGCTGCGTGGTGCTTAGTTACTTGCTGGGGTTAAACCACAACAAAAGCTTTTATTGGTGAAAATTCCTATGTATTTAAACTTTCAAAACAAATAAGGACCATCCATCCTTTTCCCCATATTACTTGGTAGCTCTTTGTCCTCTAATTAAAAAGTAACTAAAATGAATTTACAAGGCAAGTCCTGTTTGTTCACAAAAGCACAAAGCACTAGTATGACTATAGCATAATAATGTAATTAATAATAATATTATTAATTAATATTAATATGCAAGTGCACCTTTTTTTAAAACTTCTTTCAGTTGTATGGCATATGATTTTGCTGTGGAAGTTGCTCTTGCAACAGGCTTCTCCAAATCAGCAAATAGTATCCCTATACTTAGTACTCTCTGACCTGCCAGTAATACTTGCACTTTTTATTTAATGCTACTGCCAAGTATCAGATAAAATACAACATACTGTAATAGCAATAGAAATGTTTGGTTCTGTAATATCCACAGTGTTGGCATTCTTTGGTGTGTTCCCTGCTATTGGTCTACGTTGTTTTGAGAGGCAATTTAATCTCTCTGTGGTGGTCTCAGAGTAAGGATGTTGCCTAAATTTAAAGCCAGGGATCATTGAGGAGCACATCTGACAATTCGGTCTTGCCAATGGAATAGATTGATCAGGGAAAAATTACCCTGTATGCACCTTGTCATGAAGTTCATGGCACAAATTATCATGCGTCTCCCTCTCCAGAGGTACATCAGGATTTGTGTAACTAGGGAAGAATAGCAGTCTCAGTTTTCATAATCACAGGCAATATAGTAGAGCAAAGAAAGTAGAACTAAAAACATGGTATGTACCATTGCTCTGTGTGTCGCTCTGATGTGGACGATCATCCTTTCACATGGTTTTATCATTGTCAGGCATTGCCCAGTGTTAGTAGCCTGTGCAACAAGACACGTGTTGAAGACCTCACATGCCCAGGTAGTGACAGCTTTCACTCCAGGCTTTCCAGATCCCAAATCATTTTCTACTGACTGATTGCAGGGGGGGGGTTGCAAGTGGAACATGATAATTATCCATTTTACCATTCACAAAGCAGCCTGTGGAACTCAAATGTCTTTGAGATACGGTGAATATAACTGACAGTTATTGGAACTTATTTTTCTGCACCTGAAAGTTATGCAGTCATTATTGATTATTCCAGGTTTGCATTGCCGTCCAATCACTTGATGCTCATTTCACCATCCAAAATCCTCAGCGTTCAGGTGTCAAAAACTGAGCTGACAAAGCAAAAATTGCCATGTGGAAGAACAGATTATGGAAGTGCAACAGAGGAACCAGGATTGCAATCTGTGCAATATGGAAATTATGTGGTGGAGCACTAGCAACGTTGCCTTAAAGCGCCTCCCTTTTTTAAAAGGTCCTGTTAGTTTCCCTTAGTGTGATACAAATGCTGTGAGAATATGCACAACTGCACTTAGCCATGTATCTTCTGCTGATACAACATCCTGCTTTAGGAAGTCCTCCCCATCAGCCTGCTGTGCACACATTTTTGTTGATGTACTGACAACTGTATGCCAGGACAAATGCTATGAACAGCAATTTCTAGTGGAGATGTCATTTTAGTAAGCGCTAGAATTCCAGCTAAAAGTTCTTATCTCTAAGCAGCATAAGCAGTGTGAATCCAGTCGTGAAATGAAAATACAGAATCATAGAATTGTTTAGGTTGGAAAAGACCAGTCCAACCATTAACCTAACATTACCAAGTCCACCACTAAACCAATTCAGGGTAGAGTAATAATTAATT